TCGCGGAAATTTCCAATCGATTTTAAACTGACTTCCCGACAAGTTAGAGACTTGAAATTTTCAGCATAGTTCCAATCACGATGACAATGCAATTTAAAATGTAAATGAATTCTCCATATGGTCCAGGGGTCTTGATTCAAAGGCGGTCAAAAAATAGTAAGATTTATGGCTAACAGAGCGTAATTTGCCAAAGAACGTAAAACCACTATAAAATTGTTAAAGCTGCCGGCGAGCCGCGGCGGTAGTGTAGCAAAGCTATTCCTAGTCTAGATATGAACCTCGCTGTAGGCATCATATCAAGGAGATACAATTAAAAGACTCCAAATGACGCCCCGCCGGAAGAAGTTAAATATCGCGCCTAAATATATGCCATGCTACAGCGGAAATGGACGACACGCCATTTCTTTAAATAAAATTAACTGCTGCTATATGTACATATGTATGTTTATACAAAACGTAAGCAAACAACATTTTGCTTGCAAAGTATTCTTTTCTCTTTCATTGCAAGTTGAATTATTTAAATATCTGCATACATACATATGTATACATACATACCTAACCAATTATGTATGTACGCTGAATTCGCCGACAAGCTTTTTTAAAAACGAAGTAAATTAGTACAAATTGTTAGTAATTTTCATTAGAGTTTGAATAACTCCTTTCACTAGATGGCTTTTAGTAACTTTAACGAAACCTTAACTTATTTTATTTTATTCATTTTAGTGCAGTTTTGACAAAATTTGCTTGCTAAACAATCTTTTGTTACACTACTTTATGTTATTCCTTTTATTGTACATGCTAAATAAAAGCTCGTTTTTAAAAAATATTTTTTTTACATTATTTTATTTTATAATTTCTAGTCCATTTATAAAAGCGTTGTATATTAAAAAGTGTTATTTTATTTTATGTACAAAATTTTGCAATAGATATTAAAATAATTCAACTTGCAATGAAAGAGAACAGAAAACTTGGCAAGCAAAATGTTTGCTTACGTTTTGTATAAACATACATATGTCCCCGTGGCGACAAATAACTGTTACCCAGATTTTTTTGAGAAATAAAAGGGTCCTTTATAGATTTTGCGAAAAAGTATTTTATTGTTAATTTTCCACAGATTTTACTTCAGTTGTATTAATTAGTTTTTAAATTTTAACCCTTATTTACATTTGCCAGCAGTGTAAACTTTGAGAGAAAAGTTCATTTGGCACGCATGCCTTCGTCGGTTAATTTAATCCATATCTTCTGTAACCATAAGGTAATTTTCTCCATTTTTAGTCCCTTATACTCCCCCTTTTGTCCAACATAAGGCCTCATACTCATCGAATAGACTCGGAATTGGTGACTAGGACGACCATTCATTCGACCAGCCTTATACAGTTTTTTCTTTTTTTGTATTTTTTTTATACAAAGCCTAAGAAAAAATACACCTGAAAAAGACTTGCGTGCCAAATGAACTTTTCTCTCAAAGTTTAAACTGCTGGTAAATGTAAATAAGGATTAAAATTTAATAACTAATTAATACAACTAAAGTAAAATCTGTGGAAAATTAAAAATAAAATACTTTTTTCGCTAAATCTATAAAGGACCCTTTTATTTCTCTTTTTTCCTTTAATTTTTCAAAAAAACTGGGGTAACAGTTATTCGTCGCCACGCTGTACATATAGCAGCAGTTAATTTTATTTAAAGAAATGACGTGTCATTCATTTCCGCTGTAGCATGGCATATATTTAGGCGCAATATTTAACTTCTAATGGCGGGGCGACATCTGGAGTCTTTTCATTGTATCTCCTTGATATGATGCCTACAACGAAGTTCATATCTAGACTAGGAATAGCTTTGCTACACTACCACCGCGGCGCGCCGGCAGCTTTAACAATTATATAGTGGTTTTACGTTCTTTGGCAAATTACGCTCTGTTAGCCATAAATCTTACTATTTTTTGACCGCCTTTGAATCGAGACCCCTGGACCATATGGAGAATTCATTTACATTTTAAATTGCATTGTCATCGTGATTAGAACTATGCTGAAAATTTCAAGTCTCTAACTTGTCGGGAAGTCAGTTTAAAAACGATTGGAAATTTCCGCGATTTGCGCGGGATGACCAAGTTAAATAAAAGCTTATAATAAAAAGCGTTTAATCAAGAACCGCTCTAATAAAAAAAAACTTGCAATGCCTGCAAAGAAAAACCGTTTTTCGCTCTCCCGTAAAATTTGAGTGCCGTGAGATAGGTGGCTTTGCAATTGGTCGATGGACGTTTTTGCAAAAACATCAAGGATGTAATATATGTATGTTTATAAAGGATCAGCTACGATTTTGATCTCGATGGATTTTAAACCTACAAATGATGTAGAAAAAGGCTGTGAAAGCCGATTTTAGGCACACTTTGATAAAACTTAAGACTGGTTCAAGACCACCGTGTTCGATATATCATACTTTAAGGTCCTACGTTCGACCACAAAAACAATCTTTTCGAAATTGCCTTGCGAAAATACTTTAGACTCTGGGTTGTAAGGCGAACTTATGCATATCTATATATTTATTTTTTTAAGCCACTAAGTTCTTAGTTATGTAAATTATAAATACCTG